GGGTGACTCGATATATATATATATATATATATATATATATATATATATATATATATATATATATTAAGAAATGGACAAGGTCCGACAATTTATTTATTAAAGACATATTTTTATGTTTAACGTTGTTATTTTATAGATACAAATGAATTTAAGCAAATGTCTGTTTATTTTAAACAGTAAAATAACATTTACCGGCCTGAATGTCGAAAAATTTTCATGAAAATCCTGTCAAGGCCGGTAAAATTTTTTAATACTGTTTTCTCAGACATTTGCTTAAATACTTGTATCTATAAAATAACAACGTTAAAACATAAAATATGTCTTTATATATATATATATATATATATATATATATATATATATATATATATATATATATATATATATACACACACACACACACACACACACACACACACACACACACACACACACACACAGAGGATGATTGAAAAAGTAAAAGTAGCTTACGGTCAAATCACGCTGAAACACCGGTTCTCGTACGATCACCGAAGTTAAGCATCGTAGAGCCAGGTCAGTACTTAGATAGGGGACCGCTTGGGAACACCTGGTACTGTAAGCCCCCAAAGTCCAACCCTTACCTCACAGTCGGTGGGGGGTGTAAACGGTAGTGTCAGAGCTATGCCGCCCGTAACTTCGTTCCTGGTAGGGTCACCCAAGGCGGACAGGTCAGACACACACGCCGGCTAACAAGGGCTCTGGTGAAAATCCAAGGAGCGTCTGCATCGGTAACCGGCGGCTTCTGGTCGTTCCTGTCTCTGCGTCTGTGGGAATCCCACGGCAAGCAAGAACGTTATTCGAGTAGGCCTGGGTACCCTACTTCTGTAATTTATCCCAAGAATCTTCTTCTCATAACAGGAAGAAGCCGGCTCAATCCGCCCAGGGTGAATGCCGCATCAGTCAGTAGTATATATATATATATATATTGTTGAAGCTTGGATAAGCATGGAATAATAATAATACAACACAAAATGTACGTAAACAAAATGTATTGAAACAAGGAAAAGGTACACAATATTTACAGTTAGTTTTGGTATATTCTTGGGAAGACTGTTCCTGTAGAATGGGTTGACTTAATCGCAGTCGGGCAGAGTCTCTGGATTGGATCTCTTTTTCCTTCCCTCGTCTTCCTGGTACCAACCCATATTTATATGGTCGGTACTCCACTATGTAAATTAGGTGGATCGTAACACAACATATATATATATATATATATATATATATATATATATATATATATATGAATTTGAATTAATGCAGTTACTGATATAACAAAAGTAGTCTGTATTTATTCAATCGAATTTAGCCAAACAGGCAACATGAAGACCCACTTCAGACCACAATTATTTTGGAGTTTTTGAAATTCAATTTGTCAGTGTGTTACCAGGGATGTAAAAGAAGATACATTTATAAAGTAATTAAGTTTGATGAAAATTGGTTGAAATATCAACAAAAAATAAGAAATAAACCAGTAAAAATCGCCATTTTTCGGTATTTACGCGGGTTTTCACTATGTGGGCGAACTCAATTACGAAGTTAAATGACTGTTAAACAATCAACTTATTGTTGGCTACAATTGAGTGAAGTTTGAATTGTTCGAAAATTGAGGGATATTTTAGTTTAAAATTTGTGTTGAAATCGATTTTTCGCTTTTTCGTGGTTTTTCACTAAACGCGGTGGCGTAGAAATAGAAATGAGGTATCGTTGAGCTCGTCATGATATAAATAACCTACACACCGAGTTTGAACGAAATCGGAGGAAAAAAGTTGAATTTATCGATTTTTGATCGACTTTATGGATTTTTGATTTTTAAAAAATTATTGCTTTTTTACGCTAAGAACCTATCTCTTATAATGTACAATGTATGTGCAAAGTTTGGTCAAAATCGGTTGGATGGATCTCGAATGAAAAGGTATCACATAGACAGACAGACAGATAGACAAACAGACATCCTCTGTTTTATATATATAGATAAATATACAAATTGTGTTGTATCTTCGTTGGTACATTTTTTGAGTTTCTAGTTGAATTATTCATTTTCCCAAATGAAGTTCTTTCTAAGAGAGTCACAATTATTGTTTAAACACTATTTAGAAACATTAAATGTTATAATATTCGTTGCAGTCATAAATCATTATTTTAGTGGCCTAAATCAGTATTTATTTGTATTTATTTTGGGAATAAGGAATTTTTTTGCAGCAGTAAAGAAACATTTCGTTAGAATTATGAAACAATGGTCATTTTAGCAAACAGACACCATTCTTGTTTGATATCGTCGAAGCGGAGAAGCAAATATATAATTTTCTGCCTGACAACAAAGATAAAAGAAATGAGAATAAATAAAAAAAAACGACAAACTACAAGAGAGAGAGAGAGAGAGAGAGAGAGAGAGAGAGAGAGAGAGAGAGAGAGAGAGAGAGAGAGAGATTAGACGATCGATTAGCCCTAAGCTAATCGATAGTCTGCTGCCATTTGAGGATTTTCGTAATTTAGTCTCTGTCAGGACCGATGTCGACATCCGCCATATTTCCGTAGGCTTCATCAGAGAAATTACAAAAATCATTTTGCCTTGAAAAATTCAATTTTAAAACCAATATTTTTTTGTTTGTCGTTCATTTTATTTTTGTGGTTTGCTTCCACAGTTTTTTTCTTTCTTTTCCATTCGTTTAATAAGTTTTTTCTTTCTTTTTTCTTTCTTTCTTGCTTTAGTAATTTACCTCGCTAATTCGCAGGCAATTATTTCCATAAACGTATTTCCAGTCATTCAACGCGTCTTAACTGAATGGTTTCGTTCAATAAAAGTCGAAAACTTCAATCAGGAGGCGATGATAATTAAAGAAACGAAACCAGGAAAAAGAAGAAGAAGGAATGGGCGGAGAGCCAAAAGGAAGGAAAAACTCAATGAATGGAAGAAAAAAAAAGGGTGTGTGGGTGGATGGTTTAGTGTAAGCGAAATCAGCAATAAGAAAAGAGAACGATAAAAAATGAGGATATAAAAGAAAGGCGATGGAATAAAACAAAGCAAAGAAAAGAAAGGAAAAGAAAAGAAAGAAAAAGAAAGGAAAATGTATGAAAATAATACATATGAACGAAAGAAGTAAAATGAGAAAAAAAGAAAAAAAAAAGAAAGAGAAAGAAAGAATTTCTGATAAGATTTTGATAGTACCACTTAATCGAACAGGATATTTTCATAAAATGGCTGCCAGAGAAGATGATGATTGAGAGCGAGTAAGAGTGATCAGAAAAGGAAGAGATGATAAGAGGGGAAACGGAAAGAGTGAGAGCGAAAGAGAAAGAGAAAACAAAAATCAGATAAGAAAACCAAGAAAAACGGAACAATGAGTGAGAGGAAGGACAGTGAGAAAGAGGAGAAAAGGGTGGGAGACGAAAGCAAAGAAGGAATGAAGAAAAGAGGGAGAAGGATAGAAAAAAAAAACCGGAGAGGTGAAAGGAAAGAAGAAAAAGAACGAGAAAGGGATGAGAAAAAGAATCAGAGAGAGAGAGAGAGAGAGAGAGAGAGAGTTAAAGAGAGAGAGAAAAGGAGTAAAAAAGAAGTGAAATAGTGATTGGAGAAGAGAATGAGGAAAAGAGAGAAACAAATAGAAAATAAATAGGGAGGAAAAACAGAGGGAGGGAGTGAAAATGAGAAGAAAAAGGAAACAGAGAAAAGGAAAAGAGAAAAAGAAACAAATCAAGAAAAGGCATAAATCCAATCTTCCCTGCATTTAAGACGACACGAAGAGAAAATATTCAGCTATTTAAAATTTATAAAAAAAAATCCTACCTAGGGCAATTGCTCTTTAGTTCACTTCAAAGTAAACATCTTGGGATTGTACGTACTTATGGAAGCGCCCCTTCCACTTTTCAAAATAAATCCTCTTTCTGGATCACCATTAGACTCTTCGTCACGTTCCCCTTAATCTCGTCCATTGCCTTTTAACAATTTTAGGTTTGGGAAAGCATGGAGGCTGTATTGAGCATTGAATGCAACAATCACACAGTACACACGCTAATTTAGTGGCGACATCTTAATTTCACCTGAGCAGCTATTCACACATAGTAAAGGTTGCTCTGATTGGATAAAATCGAAGTCTGTACAATTAGTTCTTAAAGATATTCAAAACAGCTAGACATGCTATGGATAGATATAATATATATTCAACAATTTTCATTTTTTTTTTCAGTGTACTTGGTTAGCTGATATGTTTTAAATACTGAACAACAATTTTCAAAAACAAAAAAGCGGAAACAAAAAAGATAAAAAGAAAAGCTTTCGTCATTTGATGATGTCACTCGGACACTGTGAGAGCCAAAACTGATATAATATACGCCTGTTACTGTCACTGAGTAAGAAACATTTAAAATTATAGTCCCATTATATATCAGTATCTACGCATTGCATTCCATTATCATATCCTGAAAATATCTCTCACTCTCTCTGTTGTGGTTGCTGATAATTTTCATCTTAATGCTACAATGATTATTTTTACTTACATTATTTACATTATTCGGACTGTTATCCTCATCTTCATTGCAAATATTCACAACGAGTGGATCAGTGGATAAAAACATTGGTTAGATCCAATGACTAGCTTCTAGTGATATAATGGCTGTCTATATCTCTGAGATGAAGTATTATGATTACTTGAATTATTTACATTATTCAGACTGTTATCCTCATCTTCATTGCCATATTCACAACGTTTCGGCTGTTGTATGCCCCGGCCTTCTTCATGTGATTTAATAACTTTGCTGCAACCATAAATGCTTTATATTTCATTATTAATCAAGTCTGATATTAAGTAATATATATAAAAAGAATTTTCTTTTTTCACAGATCTTCATACACCAAAGTTTATTTCATTTGCACATTTAAAATATTTCTTTGGTTCTACAATATTATTCGTATCATTATTATTCTATATATGATTATCATATGATAATCATATGATTATTATATGATATCATATGATTATCATATGATAAGTGTTGAGATTCGAATTCACAACTCTTTGGGTCTAGTCGCTGGATCTAACCAATGTGTCCTTGGGTTCAATGCCAGGCCACAGCAGTGGTGAACCAAAAAACTTGGAGAGTTGAGTTAAAAGGAAATAACTGAGACATCCGGAAGAGGCATAGCACGTGGAACTAGAACAATCTACCCCGATGGGCGAAATAAAGGGTTCGGTGCGAAATTCCAATCACACGATGAAGACCGGAGTGTACAACGACCGAAACGTTGTGAATATGGCAATAAATATGAGGATAACAGTCAAGAATAATGTAAATAATGTAAGTAATCATAATACCTCATCTCAGACATATAGACAGCCATTATATCACTAGTAGCTATTCATTGGATCTAACCAAGGTCTGTATCTACTGGGTCATATGTCTTTGGGAATATGGCAATGAAGATGAGGATAACAGTCCAAATAATGTAAATAATGTAAGTAATCATAATACCTCATCCCAGAGATATAGACAGATAATGATTATTTTCTATCTTTTCGAGTAGAAGTCGTTAGTAGACATTACTAGGGAACAAATAATACAAATATTTAGAAATCTTCTCAATTCTACATAATATTCTTGCCAACTGAATAATTTCAATTCTATCTTGAGTTTAATCGCTTTTACTTTATTTTTTATTGTTAACGAGGTGCACCTGTGACAGGAGGAAAATCTGACTGACTGATGCTGTGACAAAGAACAAAAATTCAAATTAATTTTTCATCTTGTCGCAGAATTGTTGTCGTAAGAAAATAAAGTCGGCTCGTTAAATTACCATTGAATCAGTTGATGAATTAAGCCATATTGAAGAACACAAGTGAAGCTCAGTATTTATTCATATTTATTTATATATTTGTTTACATATATTTATCTACCTATATCCATTTTTATCCTTCTTGGTGGCGTTCTTTTTTAATCTGTTCATATCTGTCTATCTATTTGTCTATCTATGTGTGTGTCTAGATTCATCTGCCACGTGACCTACCATTCTTTCCTTTTTTGACCGCTTTTTGTTTGTTTCTTAATCTGTTCACATCTGCCTGTTTATTTTCTTATTTCCTATTTTATCTATCTATCTATCTATCTATCTATCTATCTATCTATCTATCTATCTATCTATCTGACGTATTGAAGAGTGTGTCTGTTTTTTAGGGTAACTGCTATTGTCCGAATGAAGGCAACCAATTCATATCTATCTATCTATCTATCTATCTATCTATCTATCTATCTATCTATCTATCTATCTATCTATCTATCTATCAGGCAGGGCATGTCTATCTACCTACCTATTTCTTTCTCCCCTCCCCATCTATCTATCTATCTATCTATCTATCTATCTATCTATCTATCTATCTATCTATCTATCTATCTATCTGACTTATTGAAGTGTGTGTCTGTTTTTTAGGGTAACTGCTATCTATCTATCTATCTATCTATCTGACGTATTGAAGTGTGTGTCTGTTTTTTAGGGTAACTGCTATTGTCCGAATGAAGGCAACCAATTCATATCTATCTATCTATCTATCTATCTATCTATCTATCTATCTATCTATCAGACAGGTCATGTCTACCTACCTACGTCTCTCTCCCCTCCCTCCCCCCTCTCTCTATCTATCTATCTATCTGACTTTTTAGTGTGCGTCTGTATTTTAGGGTAACTGCCATTGTCTGAATGAAGGCAACTAATTCATATCTATCTATCTATGTATCTATCTATCTATCTATCTATCTATCTATCTATCTATCTATCTATCTATCAGGCAGGTCATGTCTACCTACCTACGTATTTCTCTCTCCCCTCTCCCTCCCTCCCCCTCTATCTATCTATCTATCTATCTATCTATCTATCTATCTATCTATCTATCTATCTATCTATCTATCTATCTGACTTATTGAAGTGTGCGTCTGTTTTTTAGGGTAACTGCTATTGTCCGAATGAAGGCAACCAATTCATATCTATCTATCTATCTATCTATCTATCTATCTATCTATCTATCTATCAGGCAGGTCATGTCTACCTACCTACGTATTTCTCTCTCCCCTCTCCCTCCCTCCCCCTCTCTCTCTATCTATCTATCTATCTGACTTATTGTAGTGTGCGTCTGTTTTTTAGGGTAACTGCTATTGTCTGAATGAAGGCAACTAATTCATATCTATCTATCTATCTATCTATCTATCTATCTATCTATCTATCTATCTATCTATCAAGCAGGTCATGTCTACCTACCTACGTATTTCTCTCTCCCCTCTCCCTCCCTCCCCCCTCTCTATCTATCTATCTATCTGACTTATTGTAGTGTGCGTCTGTATTTTAGGTAACTGCCATTGTCTGAATGAAGGCAACTAATTCATATCTATCTATCTATCTATCTATCTATCTATCTATCTATCTATCTATCTATCTATCAGACAGGTCATGTCTACCTACCTACGTATTTCTCTCTCCCCTCTCCCTCCCTCCCCCTCTCTCTCTATCTATCTATCTATCTGACTTATTGTAGTGTGCGTCTGTATTTTAGGGTAACTGCCATTGTCTGAATGAAGGCAACTAATTCATATCTATCTATCTATCTATCTATCTATCTATCTATCTATCTATCTATCTATCTATCTATCTATCTATCTATCAGGCAGGTCATGTCTACCTACCTACGTATTTCTCTCTCCCTCCCCTCCCTCCCCTCTCTATCTATCTATCTATCTATCTATCTATCTATCTATCTATCTATCTATCTATCTATCTATCTATCTGACTTATTGAAGTGTGCGTCTGTTTTTTAGGGTAACTGCTATTGTCCGAATGAAGGCAACCAATTCATATCTATCTATCTATCTATCTATCTATCTATCTATCTATCTATCTATCTATCTATCTATCAGGCAGGTCATGTCTACCTACCTACGTATTTCTCTCCCCCTCCCTCCCTCCCCTCTCTCTCTATCTATCTATCTATCTGACTTATTGTAGTGTGCGTCTGTTTTTAGGGTAACTGCTATTGTCTGAATGAAGGCAACTAATTCATATCTATCTATCTATCTATCTATCTATCTATCTATCTATCTATCTATCTATCTATCAAGCAGGTCATGTCTACCTACCTACGTATTTCTCTCTCCCCTCCCCCTCCCCCCCCCTCTATCTATCTATCTATCTGACTTATTGAAGTGTGCGTCTGTTTTTAGGGTAACTGCTATTGTCCGAATGAAGGCAACCAATTCATATCTATCTATCTATCTATCTATCTATCTATCTATCTATCTATCATTATGTTTTACCTACCTACCAATTTCTCTCTCCCCCCTCTCTCTCTCTATATATATATATATTTTTTTTTGTTGATTTCTTTCTTTCTTTTTTCTTTTTTTCTTTCTTTCTGTTTCTTTTAAACTTTCAATCATATCTTATTAGTATTTTTCTTTTTTCGTTATTTGGATTTTTTCTGAGTCTCTTATTCCGTTGTTTTATGGCAAAACACTATTTGCTCGGTGTCAGTGAGTGTTGGATATTTACCCCTGCTATAAGTTGTCTGTGTTCGAACCTAGGTAAAAAAAAAAAAAACATTATCTAGATTTATCACGATTTTCAAATTGTACGGTTTCACTACTTGGGAGATTGACGCAACACAATCTTCCTACCTTATCGCAGTAAGCTAAGCTTAGTAGTTGTACCTGCATCGTGTTTCTATGAACCGAGATACATCCTGTTTCTGATATAAACAGCGATGCAGATGGAGTTGGTAGCCTCACCAGTATTGATCGGTAATCTTGCTATTTGTAGTGGATACATTCAAATTAGATTTTAATAGCATCAGAATGTACGTTATGACGTTGAAGTGTGGCCAGTCATTTTTTTACAAACGATACAGAAATAACTCGAGTTAATAAAAATAGTAAAAAAAAGAAGAAGAAAGAAAACGCCTGTAATTCGTCGACAGTCTCCCTGTGCTTTCATTAAATTTAGCATTTTTACCAAAATGCCGACGGTAATATCTCGCCGATGTCAAGGCGACATTACGAACTGGCACGAGCGACATCGATAAATGGATGGCATAATCGATCGATTTCGGAAAAGCCAGGTGAATGAAGACTAAGTTGAATGGTAAAAAAATCTACAATCACCGAAAATAAACTTCTCAGACGAATAACTGACCTGAATGCAATAATATAGAATTGAAGAAGCATACTTACCTTCCACTGCTGCCTGAGACGAAACATCGAGCAGTGGGACACAATAACTAGTTACCTTCTAGAAACGGTGGCATGGAATTATGGATAGCAGAAAGGGGAAACAAGGAACCGGGTTCCAGCGTATGTTACGACAACGGATGCATTTTCTTTTCCCGACTTGAAGCTTGAAAAATACCAGAATCAAACGTTAATTTGAAAATCAGTCATTTTGGTCTCGACATTTCCGTAATAGGATGTGCGAGTGATAGCTGCTGCGAATGTGAAATCAGAGAACAGAGGTCGAATTCCAGTCGTATTCATTACATTCAGTTAAGCGCTAATACCGTCTTCTCCCCTGCCAGTTATGGGGTTTAAATATCATGACTGATTTCACTATATAAACGTGGTTGGCAATCAGTCTAGGAGAAACCCAAGTCTAATTTCCAAATCGAAACCATGCGAGAAGTAAAAAATAAAAAAAATATCCTGAATGTGAACAGCGATTCTGTAAGGAATAGAAAATTAAAATTATATGCAATTTATTAAGTAGTGGATGGCTAAGGTAGAATAGGTATTTTTTTGATGGAGGCTTTATTGAAATACTATCTAGAATTAAGGAATGTGGAACAGAAAATATTGTGGGTATGCTTCTTTTATATGCGTGTCTCTGGAGGACGTGAACGATCATAGCACTCTGCAATATTTTCTGGGGCTTTTTTCTAAGTAACGGTGGTCCTCGTGCCATCTCTCTAAGTCGTTACTCAACCATCACCCACATTCCTTATTAAGCAGTCACTCTTAATCTCTACTCAGCCATCACTCTCAATCTCTTCTCTGCAGTCACATCCAATCCCTACCTGCCATCTCTCTCAGTCTCTATTCTGCCAAAACCGTCAATCTCTACTCGGACATCATTATCAATCCCTACTTGACCATCACTCTCAATCCTTACTCGGAATCCATTCTCAATACCTATTTTGCCATCACTCTCAATCCTTACTCGGAATCCATTCTCAATACCTATTTTGCCATCACTCTCAATCCTTACTCGGAATCCATTCTCAATACCTATTTTGCCATCACTCTCAATCCTTACTCGGAATCCATTCTCAATACCTATTTTGCCATCACTCTCAATCCTTACTCGGAATCCATTCTCAATACCTATTTTGCCATCACTCTCAATCCTTACTATGTTGTTACTCACAATCCTTACACTGCCACCACTCTCAATCACTACTCGCATATCATTATCAATCGCTACTGGGCCATCACTCTCAATCCTAACTCGGACGTCATTCTCAATCCCTATATTGCTATCATTCTCAATCGTTACTCGGTTATCACTCACAATCCTTTCTCTGCCACAATTCTCAATCTCTACTCGAACATCATTATCAATCCCTACTTGGCCATCAATCTCAATCCTTACTCGGACGCCATTCTCAAACCCTATATTGCCATCACACCCCATCCTTACACTCTTGTCACTCACATTCCTTACTCTGCCACAATTCTCAATCTCTACTCGGAAATCATTATCAATCCCTACTTGGCCATCACTCTCAATTCTTACTCGGAATCCATTCTCAATACCTATTTTGCCATCATCTAATACTTACATATGTTGTTCAAATCCTTACACTGCCACCACAATCTATACTCGCATATCATTATCAATCCTTACTTGGCCATCAATCTCAATCCTAACTCGGACGCCATTTTCAATCCCTATTTTGCCATCACTCTCAATCCTTACTATGTTGTTACTCACAATCTATACACTGCCACCACTCTCAATCCTTACTCGGAAATCATTCTCAATCACTAATTTGTCATCACACTCTCAATCCTTACTCGGCTGTCACGCACAATCATTACTCTGCCACCATTCTCAATCTCTATTCGGACATCATTATCAATCCCTATGGGTTATCATTCTCAATTCCTACTTGTCTACCACTCGAAATCTTTTCTCAGCAATACTTTTCAATTCTTATTTAGCTATCATTCTCAATACCTACTCGGCTGTACTTCTGAATCAATCTTCGGTATGATGATAAACTAAATTTTGTAGCAAGGTTTCTGATCTAGAGATTGGATGTTTTGGGGAGCGTTGTACCACCTCTTAATTGCTGTTATTCCCAGCTCCCCCCCTGACCCAGAGTGATGGTACCTATGAGGGTCATAGCTATGAACAAATTTTGAAACTCCAAACAACAACAGAAAAACACTACATAAGTGTAGAAATGCATTTTTAAAGTGGAAGTACCATCAATACATCTCTATCTACCAAAGGCAGGATGTGTGTGTGTGTGTGTGTGTGTGTGTGTGTGTGTGTGTGTGTGTGTGTGTGAATGCACGGCCAATTTTCGACGGATTTGCACCAAAATTTACATGCACATGCTCCAAGTTAGCGGGAAGGCCAAGACCGACTTTGCATTTCCCAACTCCCATCGATAGTGGAAATAATCGATTTTTTTCATGCTTCTACGGCAGTTTTCATGTAGTTTGCGACCATTTTGTATTGGCCAGAGTGAGAGCCAATAGCTGGCTGCCACGAATAAGCATGAAGATTCGATTGGCCAGCGTGAGAGCCAACAGCTGACTGACACGAATGTTAACTAGCATCGATAGCTGCATCCGTCACAAGTGGGAAAAATTTAAATCTGTATGGCCCTTTACTACAATTGGCTCATTCGCTTGCTTAAACTCAACGTTGATTCTGATTCCGCAGAAGTGGGTTGGGTGTGAAAAAGTATTTGTTGTTAACATTCTTTTTTCATTCGGTTTTTTCAGTTATGAGTCCTTTTTTAAAGCTTATCGTTTTGTGTTCATTTTGTTTAGTTCTTTTTTCGTAACAGATTTAATGTTTAGTATAGAGCTTAGAAAAAATTCGCAGTGTGAGATAGGCAAGAAGTAAGGCATGTAGCAACATCAGCACGGCAAAGGGCACTCCTTTAAAGGCAAGGAAGGGCAAAAATATTTTAAGTCAAGTAATAGCGATTGCTGTACGAGTCGTACGATTATTGAATCAAGCATGGGCAACGCCGGGCCATGCTGCTAGTTTTTATATAAAAATTACCAACAATAGATTTTATAGCGAAATGACCAGCAATAAATTTTATCTGTAGCTGAAGGTTGACAACTGCGTTCAAAATATTTACATTTTGTCATTTAATAATCCATAGAGGTTGATGTACACTACAAAATCAACCAACCAAAATACTAACAGATTGTAGCGACAATACTCAAATCCGTTTAAAATAATACTAAACAACCAATATAAAAGAATGAGAGTGATGGCAGAATAGGGATTGAGAATGACGTCCGAGTAAGGATTAAGATTGATCAATTCCTATTCTGCCATCACTCTCAATCCTTACTCTTTTGTCACTTACACTCCTTACGCTGCCACCACTCTCAATCCCTACTCGCATATCATTATCAATCCCTACTTGGCCGTCACTCTCAATCCTTATTCGGATGTCATTCTCAATCCCTATTCTGCCATCACTCTCAATCCTTACTCTGTTGTCACTCACAATCCTTACTCTGCAACTAATTATCAATCCCTACTAGACTGTCACTTTCAATCCCTATTCGCATCTGCTTATTCAACCCCATACGCAATCCCTACTTGCCTACCACTCGAAATCTTTTCTCAACCACTTTCACGACATTAATTCAAATAATATTCAACAATTTCTTAAAGAAATCAAACTGTATTCCAAATTATAACTTCATCAAAACTACAACATAAAACACACATATCAGCGCCTCTAGTAATTATGTCCATACAAACATGTATATGCACAAAAGCTGAGTATCATCTACCATGTATACAATTGTGAAAGCAGAATAATATATATCATATTTTTATTACTTTAAATCTCCGGAGAAAATTAAACTTTGACATTAAATAACCCATAAGGATGTTTATATGCCGCCAAGCAATCAAATCAATCAATAAATCATAACTCTGGATTCCTACTTAGACATCAGTCTCAATTTCTACTCGACTATCACTATAAATCTCAAAACGACTATCATTCTTAATACCTATTCATCTATTTCTCACAATCCGTACTCGGCTATGTCAATCCCTACTAATCCATAACTCCAAATCTCTACTTGGCAATCCTTTCTCAGCCATCATTCTCAATCCTTACACATCTATATCTGTTAATCCTTACTCGGCCATCCCTCTAAATCCTAACTCTCAGTCACTACTCGGCTATCACTTTTAATACCTACGTGTCCACCATTATCAGTCACTACTCTGCCATCACGCTCATTCCCTACTCGGCCATCAAAGTTTATCCCTACACAACCATCATTAGCAATCCCAACTCATCTATCACCCTCGGTCCGTACTACTTGGTCATCTTCTCAATTCCTAAGCGTCCATCACTTTCAATGCCTTCTCAGTCATCATTCTTAATCCTTACTACGCCATGACACTCAATCCCTAATCGGCTATCATTCTCAAACCCTACTTGACTATCCCCTCTCAGTCCTTATTCAGCTATCACTCTCAATCCATACTTGAGAATCACACCCAATCCCTACTCTGCTATCTCTCTAAATTCCTATTGGATTACTACTCTAAATCCATACTCGGCTATCACTCTCAATCCCTCAATCTCTAAGCTATCATTCTACATCCTTACTCAGCTATCATAATCAACTACTACACTCTATCGCTCTCAATTCCTTCCCAACCATCACTTTTCGTCCCTTATCAGCCATCACTCTCAATCCCTCAATCTTTTTTTCATCAGTTCAAGAATTTCATGTCATACATTTTTTTCTTTTCTCTCTTTCCTAGGTAACATATCGTTCGCTAAGGTCATTTGAGCTTCGCTTAAGGTGTTTCCCTTTCAATTCCTAACCCCTGATATTAACTCTTTAATTTGTCAGTAAACAATGTTTTTTTCCAATTGAATTGTCCCGTAGTATGTTTTATTATATGTTAGGCGTTGCTCATTTCCGTGATTTTAATTTGTGTTTCTTTATGATGCTCAGAACTTGGATAAGTTTTAGACTGGATTCCTAATGTCTCTGTCTATATTCGTCATGTTTATCACAACATTTCGGCCGTTGTACGCTCCGGCCTTCTTCAGGTGGTTGGAATGTCGAACTGAACCCTTATTTCGCTCACTGGGGTAGACTGTTCTAGTTCCACGTGCCATGTCTAATGGATGTCAGTTATCTCCTGTTAATTCAATGATAACAGCAAAAATTTCAATATGAGCACTGGTAAAAAAATGGTTGCTGAAGACATTAGGTTTATAATACCCAGAAATCCATACACAGGTGTCCTCAAGGACACACTGGCACAGTGGATAAAGGCGTTAGTTAGATCCAGTGACAGGACCACAAAAAGTGTGAGTTCAATACCTGGTTAGCTTTGAGAGTTGAATTAACATCTTGCCCCATTTGAAAAAAAAATAAATCTATTTTGAAAAGGGGATACTCTGACAGAAATACATTTATATTCATCGAATCAATTATTAGGTCGTTTTATAAAAAAATCAATAGAAAAATTTGTTAATATTTTTTAACCTTAAAAATTCTTTAAGATTAGTTTGTTTGCTTAACGGCATATCAACACCTCATGGGTCATTTAAGGTCGAAATTTAATTTTCTTAGGAGTTTTGAAGTAATAAAAATGTCATTCTGCAATAGAATACATAATAGATAATATTCAACTTTTGTACATATACATGTTTGTGTAGACGTAGTTACTAGAGTCAGTAATGTGTGTTTTACGTTGTAGTTTTGTTGAAGTTATATTTTTGAATACAGTTCGATTTAAGAAATAGTAGGCTATTATATGGATTAATGTCATGAAAGAGTTCTTTCATGTTGGTTGATTTTGTTTAGCGGCATATCAACACCTCTTTAGGTTATTTAATGCCGAAATTTTGAACGCAATTGTATGCCTCAACTACAGATAAAATGTATTGTTGGTCATGTTATTATGGAAAAAATGTAATGCTGGCATTTTTACTATGTATTTTCATACTTTCATAGTGTTTTTGTTTTGTTTTTTTTTTGTGGGTGGGGGTTCAGTATTTGTCCATAGCTGAGACCCTAACAGGTGCTACCCTACTGGGTCAGGGTGGACCTGGGAACAGCAATTAAGAGGTGGTTCCACGACCCATAAAACCTCCAATCTCCCAATCAGATGCCTTGCTACCGGATGTAGTTTATCGTCGTATCCAGGATTTTTTGAACAGTAATCATTTCCGTCTACGTTGACCATTCCGAGTCAACTGTAAAAAACAATTCATTATTAATTTTCGTTTTGGGCAAACAATGAAGCTGGCAAAACCTGCTAATGATTAAAATAAGAAAATTAAAATTAAATCCATTGTCTACTTTTCAGAATTAAGGAAGTCTAACTGACCATTTCTGGACGGAAATTTTGTTTCAATGCCATTCGGAATTAAGGAAGGCCTAAAGGACGTTTTGATAGCAAAGATTTCCTTTAAGTGGCTTCCATAATTACGAATGGAAGTATGACGTATTTTTGACGAGGTCGCTGTTTCAATATCATTCAGTATTAGAAAAAAAAGTGGGATGGTTACTTTTAGAAGGAAAGATTTTGTTTCATTACAATTAGTAATTAAATATGGAGATATGGATATTTTAAAAAAATAATCTTTGTTGTAATATCTTTCAAACTTAACGTAGGCGTTATTGTAACTTTGGCAAAGCAAATTTTGCTTCATTATTCTTCAGAATAAGGGAAGGTGGAATTGATATTGTTTCGGGGGAAAGACGTAGTTTCTCTTCTGTTTAGGGCCAGGAATTTAGTTTTAGGCATTTTTTGATGCCGTAACATTGAAAATTGGGAATGGTTATTTTTGTAGAGATAGATTATTTTTCAATGGCATTGAGAATAAACGAAGATAGAATGGGCAAATATTTTTTTTTACTATTAAAATTAAAAAAAGGAAGCTCGAATTTACGTTATTCACATTTTTTCTTACTATTTCTTACTATTTAAACCAATGATCACCAATATAGGGCGCATGCTCCACCGGTGGGTCATGGTAATATTTTGGTGGGACATGTGTAGGATGTGTACCCTTCGGCTTACTATATCAATAGAATAAAGGGGCAATTCGAGAATGAGTTATTAACAGTGAATTGTTTTCTAATGATCTCAAATTTCATTTTAAATTGTTATTTGAAGATTAAAATGATCAAAAGTATATTACAGAATAACATTTCATTTAAATATATTATATTTCTGCCTTTCAGTTCGCTATCATATGTTTTGAAACTATATATATTTAACTGTGTTTTTGTCTTTTTAATTTTTCTTTTTCATGGACGCCATGTTCTTTGGAGGCTTGTTTAGAGACCAAGTTAGTGGCCTTTTAAGCTTCCTTTACGTGAATTGCAGTAAAATTTTGAATATGTAAGAATTAAATATTACAGGGGGTGTACCAGAATTTTAGAAATACCAAAGTGGGGCATGTCCCAAAATAGGTTGGGAACCACTGATTTCAATTGAAGGATTTCGGTATTAAGATTTTTCTTCATCGGAAGAATTATCGTCATTAGAGTTCGGAGTTACGGTTGGTGAAATGAATGTTTGTCTGTAGAAGATTTGCACTCATCGTTATTTTGAATTATCGAAATGTGTAATGAATAACATTTCCTTTCAAAACCATGCCCATAATCTACTCGTTTCTTATAGTGACCATTAAAACATTAGTTATTTATATTTCTCTTCACAAAATACATGCGGTTGTATTCAATTTTGGGTCTCAATGAATTTCTATCAAAACGCGTCTTGCACGCTTATAACACCAGTTAGGCACAGACGCCCTAAAAACTCTGGCAAGAATGAACGGTAATTTTTCTTGGAAACGTGGGATTTTTTTTTTTGTGATTGTTTTTCTTGCAAAACATTTCAGTTCTTTAATGATTCGCATTAAAACTTTTCGCAAAGTTATCCGTTTGTTTATATTTTCGTTCATTTAACCTTAATTGTTGATCTTTTCCTTTTTGTCTTGTGTCATCAAAAACGGTTCCACCGATTCCACGGGAACGCTCAGTTTGTAGGTATCTTCTCTTAACTTATCTTTTCTTTCTTTCTTTCTTTCTTTCTTTCTTTCATTTTTTTCTTTCTTTCGTTCTTTCTTTCTTTCTTTCTTTTTTCTTTCTTTCTCTCTCTCTCTCTATCTATCTATCTTTCTTTCTTTCATTCATTCTTTTTTGATACTATCATTCATTATTTTTCCTTCCTTCCTTCCTTCCTTCCTTCATTCTTTCTTTCTTTCTGTTATGGTCCGGTTCCTTGTACCACGATGATAGTCCAAGGTAGAACCAATAAAGAAGAACTCGAACACGTATATGGAATAACACAGATATATTACAAATAGGAATATATACAGAGAAGTAGAAAGTGTTAGTACGAACAATCAGGTTTAGTAGTACTTCTCTGAACGCGACTCTGTTTCGGACTGCATATGACTCGACTGACTGACTCCTGACGGACCTCACTCCAGACTTCAGACTGAATTCTCTGCTTCCTCTTGAGGCGCAGTATTTATTACGTATAGAATAGTCCATTATATTATTATGGGTAAGGTCTCATAAGACTTTCTTTCATTCATTTTTCATTTATTCATTCTTTTTCATTCTTCCTTTCATTCATTCATTCTTAAATTCATTCATTCTTTCTTTTTCTTTCATTCATTCATTCCTTCTCCCCCCCCGCCTTTTCAGACCACAGTACATCTTTTGGACTTCATTTTCTCTGTTATTATTTCTCTTAATCCATTTAATCTTTTATCATAACACACTTTTTATTATCTATCTATCTATCTATCTATCTATCTATCTATCTATCTCATTCTATTCTTATCTATATATCTGTTTACAATGTTTATATCTATCTATCTATCTATCTATCTATCTATCTATCTATCTATCTATCTATCTATCTGTTTACAATATGTTTATATCTATCTATCTATCTATCTATCTGTTTACAATATGTTTATATCTATCTATCTATCTATCTATCTATCTATCTGTTTACAATATGTTTATATCTATCTATCTATCTATCTATCTATCTATCTCATCCTATTCCTATCTATATATCTGTTTACAATATGTTCATATCTATCTATCTATCTATCTATCTATCTATCTATCTATCTATCTATCTATCTATCCTTTTGTTACTCCGTGCTTCTACCATTCTCACTCTTCCTGTTACCTCTTATGCCGACACCGACCTTTTACTTTTCGCCCACTCCACTTGCATTGAAATTCTCAATCCACGAGCAATAATATATTGGCATAAATAAATGAGAGTGTGGAGCACACGAACCTCATCAATTATTGACACAGTTTGACACATAAACAGACACAAGGCCGCTTACCTTTTTACAACAACCGCCCTAACATATGCGTATATATAATCCCATGGATGATACAAAAATCAGCCTGCAAAGCCTTTGCGTTGACTACATCTCTCTATGTTGGCGAATCAAATGTCTAATATCGTCGCCACCCACGCTGACACGTGCTCATCTATCGGCGTTGCCTTTGCACTTTCAACACTGAATTTCGAGATTTAGTGAGGTCCATAAGTGTCTAAGTTGTGCAACAAACATTCGAGCTAGTCATGTGACGAGAACGGAGGACGAGGATCTTCTAAAGACACACTCTCATTTGGGGAACTTGTCTCTGGCCGCCGGAGAAACGAGTCACATTGAAGAAATGTAAACACTTCCCGAAAGAGACTCTCTTCTCTTGGGAATTCAACCAACGCCAACTTCTATAAAGCAATCACTCTTGAAAGATCCCAGACGCAAAAATTAAACAGAAGAAAAAAGGCAGCTATGTTTCCACCGGATGGCGGACCCTCTCCTACAGTTGATGGAAACAAAAGTAGGTCTCTCTAACGTAGGCTTCACTAGTCACCTGAGAATGTTCGTAGAGCCAAGCTAGGATATTTATTTGGGCGTGCATATATTCGCGTGCGTGTGTGTGTGTGTGAAGGTTTTATAATGCATCACATGTACGCATATTTTTGTATCAGTTGACCACTTAATACAAGGCCCAAGAGCCAGTCAAGGTAGAAGGTTATGGAATATGTCTATTGTATAAGCGTATGAGAAAACGGTAAGAAATGCAGATTATGAAGGTATATAGGAAAGATAACAAATAACGCTACACTTGAAGTAGTTAAGATTTATAATAACCTGGAAAGCATCCTCACGGGAACCTATTCCACAAGGTAGTGGTTCTTTGGGAGAAGCTTTATTAATGGAACTTCCTCCTTACTAATGAAGACAATAGGGATGCTTCGACCCTGTGTACGTGGCATGATGGGTCCTAGTTTGAAAGAATTGGTGGAACTAAGGGACTAAGGTTCACCAGAACATTTGCCATGGAAATAGCAATAGACTAGCAAGAGGCTTGCTATATACAGTAGCGTCCAAAACTAAGGGACAAAATTTCAAAACCTAATATTTGTTAGAAATAACAACTGTGAAAAGCTGAAATTTTGACAACTGGTAGTCGTTATCATCCATAATAACATACTAAAATTTGAATCATTTGCAAAGGATAGAAAAAGAATTATAACAATTATTTATTTATTTTCAAATTTGGAACGTCCAAAAGTAAGGGGCAAAATTGAGAAAAACAATGTAAACGGCAAAAAAACAATAAAAATACATGTACAATCAATATTTAGTAAATGAGCCCTTGCTCTCAATGACAGCTGCACATCTTCGACTACAAGAACGAATCAGTTCTTGACAATCCTCGATACTAATTTTTGACTATTCTTCTTGAAGCTTCACCCACAAATCCTCCGTGTTAGTGGGATTTCTTTCCATAACTTTCACTCCTAAGGTCTTCCAAAGATTTTCTATTGGATTTAAGTCAGGACTTTGCGGTGGCCAATCCATAATTTCCAAATCTTGCTCGCTAAGGTAACTCATTACCACCTTTGCCTTTGTGACATGGGGCATTATCTTGCATAAAGGTAGCCCTATCGAAACCTGAATTCTGTATGATTGGCACAACATGATCTTGAACAATGTTTTTATAGATCTGCGCGTTTACACGAGTTTGTAACCGGACAAGAGGCGTTGTACCTTGGCTAAAAAACATTCCAAATACCATGACGCTTCCGCCCCCAAACTTGACAGTTTTCTTAGTACACTTTGCACTTAATCTTTCACCAATACGTCTCTTTACATTGTTTTTTCCATCATTTCCAAATAAATTAAACTTGCTTTCATCACTGAAAAATACTTTTGCCCAATTTTCATATGTCCAAATTACATACCTGTTTGCAAACTCTAATCTCTTCTTCTTATTCTTTGAACTAACAAGTGGTTTCTTCCCTGGGGTTCGATTAAACAGCCCTATTTCTTGCAGTCGTCTACAAACAGTCTGTCTTGACACATTAACACATGAGGTACTATTCATAACCCTTTTAATTTCTGTGCAAGACTTAAAACGGTCCTTTAATGACATACGCTGCATTATTCGATCTTCTCTTGCCGAAGTTTTGCGGGGTCTGCCGGTTTTAAAAGCACTAACTATTTTGCCAGTATTATTGTAGGATTTAACAACCCTGCCTACAACACTCTTGAAACGTTTCACTTTCTCTGAAATCTCTCTAATGGTGTGCTTTTCCTTGTGTAGCTTCACAATAGCTTGTCTCACAGAGTAATCAAGTTTTTGGCGTTTCGCCATGGTGCCGGCTGATGCAACGTTTACAAATGGCTAAGTAAGACTTATTCTTTAGAGGAAATCAAAAAATTTGAATATAGCATACTGTTTACATTGTTTTTCTCAATTTTGTCCCTTACTTTTGGACGATCCTATTTTGAAAATAAATAAATAATTGTTATAATTCTTTTTCTATCCTTTGCAAATGATTCAAATTTTAGTATGTTATTATGGATGATAACGACTACCAGTTGTCAAAATTTCAGCTTTTCACAGTTGTTATTTCTAACAAATATTAGGTTTTAAAATTTTGTCCCTTAGTTTTGGACGCTGCTGTATTTGCTTGTGGGTTGTGGAGTGGGAATAATTCATCACCCATAAGGTTACGTAGATGCTCCTGACCTCTATCAAGACTGGAAAGTGAGAACTGAGTAGCCCTTTCCTAGACATTACAGCAGTACTTCATTTTCGAGCTACACAATCTTTCTTGACAGAATCTATCTTACACAAGTCGATCATTCGTTCATGCATTGAATATTGCTCCTACATCCGCTTCAGCATTGTATTTAGAGATTCTTGATAAAATCCAAAGAAGAATATACAATGTTATTGTATACAATATATACAATATACAATGTTATTGGTCCTGACATGGCATCTCGGCTTCTCTCAACTTTCTTACCACCGTAACGTAACTTCCGAGTGCCATTCTATAAATGTAATTGTGAAAATTTTCACTCATGTAATTGTTCTCTTTGGTATCCCGACATTACAAAATTAACTGCAGTACTAGAGTGGCAGCTAGGTCTCATCGTTTTACACTTGAAATTGCGAGATGTAGCCACAAGTTCTTTGCTAAGAGTTCCTTTCCGCGCACCTCTCGTAGATCTCTCTTCCGGCTTCTTGCTTTCCAATTAACTTCAAAAAATTTTAATTCAATGTCAATCATTATCTTCCGTCCTCTTAATACCTACTGTTTTATAGTTCCTTCCCCTTAATAATGTATCTTAGTGGGTTTATTGCCTTGTTTGTGATGAATTAATGAAAAAATGAGAGTAGCCCGGGATGTACAAATTCCCGCAGAGGAATAGATAAATACTTACCCTTATACTTATATATAGATATATATAGTTTACTGTTTTTGGATTGATTGTTGTAGGCTGGTGCTGTTTTCCTTATTTTCCATGATATTTTTGATGCAATTTTGTTTTTTTGTTTTGAATCTCCGAGCCAGATATGTTTAGAAAGCACTGTACTGTTCACGTATTTATTATTTGTAAAGGATGTTTTGTATGTGGAGTTGCTTTGTTTCCAGGGTCATTCAGATACTCCTGTGTGTATTTTTTCATCGTTATCTGTTGATTTATCCCGATTTTACAAAAATATCTATAATTACCTTTCCAAACCAAAACAAACTACTAAATAAACGATCAGAACTCATCACAAAATGCAGACTCGAAAACAAATTTTTACTACATTACTTAAAAATCGAAAACTAAAAGCGAACAAGAATAAACGAAAATAAACAAATAAAAAAAAAATAAACAAAAACATGCAGAATAAATTAATCCAAACAAATAAATAAGTAAATAAACTAAGGCAATAATAAACAAATTAACAAACCACCTACGAACAGATAAACACAAGTAGGTGTAGTCAAAATAACCAACAATAAAATAATCAATAATAATAAAAAAAAGTTAACAATACTATAAATGACCAAAACCTACATTCGGATCAACAATTATTCCCACTCAATAGTCCCTAGAATAATTCGAAACAAAAATAACCAATAGAATAATGCAACAGACTACCCACAATGCAATGCAATTGACTACCCACAATGAACCACTGACGTGTAAATAGTCGAGCAAATGCACAATGCACATGACCTCAAATTTGACGCATGAGGGTCAAGCAGCTCAGTTCCTCGGAACCGTCAACCCGACACACGTGATTTGATTATAGTGGTGAAGGCTTTGTGCAGAACAATTCACACTTTTTGAAGAGCCGAATACAGAGACCTGGTGCACAAGGTCTCCAAACGACCCTCCGCAGGTTTTGAATTCAGAGTTATCCTTCTCCTAGACCAGTTGCCATCCAAGGCTATAGAACCCAGTCTGTCCTGCTCTTTACCCATATATATATATATATATATATATATATATATATATATATATATATATATATATTCACTTTTGTACATTTATGTAATATTTTGGGTATAAAAATAGAACTGTTAAGTTTGTTGTTTATAATAAATGTAAAAAAACCAACAAGTAAAGCAAGAAAACAGTGAAAAATCAAAATGTTAAATCAAAATAACTTTAAAAAGCAATAAAGCAATATAAAACAAATAAAGACAAAATACAATCTATAAAAACAACATAAAAGCAATAAAAACAAGATAAAAAGCCAGAAGTAACATAAAAAACAACATGAAAAATAATATAAAAAAACATAAAACGATAAAAAATCAACCTAAAAATCAATAAAACCAAAATTAAAAGCACTAAACGACTGAACGCGAAAACGAAACTGAATTTTCGAGTTTTACGTCTTGTGTTGGCCAAACTTCAAATAGCAGACAAAAACATTATTCTTTGTATAATCGATATACAAATGACCCGGGGACTTTGCAATTTTCTTCGTTTCATCTTCGCTTTATTACCGGAAGCTGGCTGAGAAACCCAACAAGTTTTATTGGCCAACGACTTGTCTTGAATATCGACAAAGCAACAATATGGCGGAAGAAAACAAAAGGCCAGGAAAGAGAAAAGAGACGAATGTAGAAGGAAAAGCAAAAATATATGAAACAGAAAGAAAGCGATGGCATGTGATAAGATGTGAATCAAGGTAAACGGAAAGCCTGAGGTCGAGACATTTCGCAGAAAACGAAGAAATAGAATGAAAATGGAGGAGAGGGAGAGGTATGAGGTAGTAGAGATACAGGAGAAAGAAAGAAAGAAAGAAAGAAAGAAAGAAAGAAAGAAAGAAAGAATAGTCGGTAGGAGTAGGAAGAGGGGTGAAAAAAAGACAGGGGGAAGCGGAATTAGGTGATTGCAGAAGAAGGAGAGAGAGGAGGGGTATGAGGTAGTAGAGATACAAGAGAAAGAAAGAAAGAATAGACGGTAGGAGTAGGAAGAGGGATGAACAAGAAGACAGGGGTAAGCGGAATTAGGCGATTGCAGAATAAGGAGAGAGAGAGAGAGAGAGCGAGACAGGAGGGAGAGAGGGGAGGAGAAAGAGAGAGGAAGATAGAATGGAGAAGAGTAAATCCGTTAAGAACAAAAAGAAGAGTAGCAAAGAGAATGAGTACAAGGGAATAAAGCTGAAACCAAAGGTTTTATTCTTGCTGCGCAGGACTAATGCTTGTTAGCTAGAAATTACCAAGCACACATACTGAAAAATTGTGTTAACCCGAAATGCAGATTCTGTGATAAATATCCAGAAACAATTGGCCATCTTGTATCAGTTTTCACGGTGTTAGCACCAACTGTATATAAATCTCGGCATGATAGAATGGGCCAATATCTGTATTGGAAAATATGTTACTTTTACGGGAAAGAAACTGCAAGAAAGTGATATGAGCATCACTCAGACCCGGTTACAGAGATAGGACTGTAACAATTTTATGGGACTTTAAAATACACACAGACAGAAACAATCAAAGCTAATCGTCCAGACATCGTGATTAGAGACCACAAAAACAGAATATGCTTTCTTATTGACATGGCAGTCCCTTCAAAAAAACTTTCAAGATACAAGGATCTTGAAATCGTAATATAAAAAATATAGCACATGAGGAGATCAATAATTCTAGTTGTAGTTGGATCTCTTGAAATTGATTGGAAAAGATATCGATAGGCGCATTGAAGGGTAGCCCCGCCTTAAATAAATACAAAAAATTGTACTTACAAGTATGGATCACACATTACGAAGAGCTTTATCTATGTAAGATAAGTGCAATTTTTTTTTAAAAACTGCTCAGTGGAAAATGCCATGATGCCTTATCTGACCTTAGGTTTGGCATCTCGACGTGGTGTAATGGTTAGCAAGCTTGTTTTACTAGATCTGTTACTACTGAAAAGTGAGTTCGATCCTCACTGGATGCTACATACTTTCGGCCTTGTGCCACATCTAAGCTATGCTTGGAAAATCACTTTGGGCATCCCAAGGCGGTGTAATGGTTAGCAAGCTCGTCTCGCTAGAACTATTACGACTGAGTAGTGAATTCGATCCTCACTGGGTGCCTCATGCTTTCGGCCTAGTGCCACATCTAAGCTACACTTGGAAAATCAATATCTGACCTTAGGTCTCTGGTCGGAACCCGGAAAGAAATAAGTACACACCAGAAATCAAAGGAAATAAAATAATAATAATAATGGTGTTATGCTGTTAATGGCCACCATCCAGTTTTTGATGACATAGGCATTAATAGGTTATAGGTGTAAATCTATAATTAGCACGAGCTTTTCAGAAATTTATAATTAATACCAAACCTTCATTTTAGTTTTTATAATTAATAGCGGATTTAATGGTAATATTTAATATTTAATATCAGTTAATATTAATGGTAATATTTAGTATTTAATATCAGTTAGAATGAGGTTCAGGTGACTGGTTGACTGAGTTGGAAATGGAATTGGCAAGCCGAATTCAAATTCCAGCTGAGAGAATTTGTATTCAGTTTCTACTAAAGGCATAAATCTACCCCATCAATCAAGTATAGGCGAAATAACAGGGTAGACTGGTCTCTCTAGATTTGGTTGGCAATCAGTGTCGGAGGAAGTACAATCTTGGACTGAAAATCGTACAGAATGAAAGGAAACACTTATCTACACTATATAATCAGGATAATCGTGGCAGCGTACGCTTTACAGGTATTAATAGAAAGGAGACTGTGGAGGACCATGATTTGTTGGGTTCTGAAGAGACACGATACGTAAAAGAACAGAAAATAAATATTGGAACAAAATGCTGGAGGTTGGCAAAGAGTTGAACAGAAATATTGAAGACGATGATGATGACGACGACGATGACAAAGAAAGAAAGAAAGAAAGAAAGAAAGAAAGAAAGAAAGAAAGAAATGAAAAAGAAAGAGAAGAAAGAGAAGAAAGAGAAGAAGAAGAAGAAGCTATAACAGAAGATGAAGAGGATGAAATAGAAACCGGTGACGTTTTTCTTTCTTTTATTGTTTTAACTTTATATAAATCCACGCACAATATTCGTGGTAACTCAAATAATGTTTGTCTCTGAATATGACTATACACACGCAAAATTCGTTTCAAATCTTACAGACATTTATTAAAAAATATATATGATTATATTTCTTTAATTAATATTCCTCTAATAAAAGCACAGGTACTGTTCGACATTCAGCGTTGATTTGATTTGTCCCGGAAAGGTATATATATTTGAACGAAGTAGCTAAGTGGTCAGGCTCCTGTAACCAAGTAGAACAATCTAGCAGGTAGCAGTAATTGAACTGGTACTCGTCGTAGTCACAGTCAATAGGTGTAGGCAATAGGCGTAGACCAATAGTATAGCCAATGGCGTAGTCCAATGGGCGTCGACCTGTACCTCTACATCAGCCTGTATTTATGGCTGACCCCAGCCAATCATATTCCTGTGAGGGGGAACACAGGTGTATCCATATTCATTACATCATGATTATGTCCTCATTGTCTCTACAAATGCTCTTTACGATAATTTTTAGTGTAAGCCACTTAGAAAACAAATTCTGTATGAAAATCTGTGATTTTTTTTGCAAAACAGTGTTAATTTTATAAATTAATTGAAAAAAAATATAATTGGTATATCCCTTATCTGTCAGGTGAATCTGTTTTTATAGTAGCAGTTACCATTTTCAACCAACCAGTGTCCGACTAATTTCTCATTTTATTTTAAATGTTTTGTGATGTCAACGAACACTCATTGCCACTTCGTCAATGCCAACGAATAATCATTGTCACTTTCGTAATGCTCGTTGTAGTAGAGACCTTGGAAAGATTACAAGTATAGTACGCCGTTGAACAATGCTGTTTTCAGGGGCTTTTATAATGATTAATGTTCCTCAAATAAACGCACAAATACTATTTGACATTCAGTATGAATGATGCTGTGAAATAATGCCTGTTCCCGGTAACTATTAGCAACATTAACTGCAGTGTTTTATAACTCATCTAGACAGGATGACTACCGTACAGACATGCTTAGTAATCAAACTTCATAGACCATTCAATTGTGTAGTTTCATGTTTTCTGAATGCTTCTATTTATAGCCCTGTGCCAGATTCATTCAAAGACAGTAAATATCTATATTCTTAAAACAATTTACTTGATAAAGTGATAATTCCCCTGATTGAAATCAGAAAAGGCAGCGACCGAGATTTTAGTGAAAATAAAGAAATTCTGAAATACATTTTGATTTTTTTTTTTTTTTTTTTTTTTACTAACCATTACTGACAATTGCTATCACATGCCAGTTAATATTGAAGCCCTTCGCGTATCTCGACATAACGACGTGGGCGTTAACTTCTCCAGAGAATTCTCCGCTGTTTTGTTCATGTCGATCGCTCTTGAAATAGCATTTTTACTCGAAAAATATTTCTTGTCGCAATTCGCAAAAATGTCAGCTGCATCCAGCCAGACTTGACAATCTGGCACCGTTTGCCATCAGTATTGTGAAGATGGATTTTCGAAAATGGACCGTCAGACATTGATTTCTTCGAGTGGGTGTTTTAAATCCTCCATTGAAAAGACTGGTCCTTCCATTAGTCATAACGTCGTCAATATAGCTGGTCACTGGTGAAGGCATCCAATTCCGCATTTCTTGCTCAATGCAGATTATGGTCAGCATTATAAAATCTACAATAACCACGTAGATTATAACTGAACATCAGTTAAGGGAAACAAATGACAAAAAAGTAATTCCCTATTTTAAGGTTGACTTCCATTTTGTTTCGTTCAAATACGTGCGTTTATTTAGTAAGCCATGCTGTTGAAAAGCGTAACAAGTATGGCACAAGGTCAAATTACTGCAACACCTAGTTTAGTTTGTTTTGTCTTACGGCATATCGACATCTCCAGTTGCCTTGATCTATCCACTATCCTTCTCCTCATCCTTTCCTTTATCACTCCTATGTGATCATGCTCCAAATCTTCTGTCCTTGTGTCCTAGTGGCTTCTCGCCTTGCTTGGGGTGAAACGCTTAAAAAAAAATATATCAACCTCAATGGGTTATTTAATGCCGACAAAATTTTTATTCACTATCTGGCTATATTTCTGAGATGAGGTATTATGTACATTATTTACATTATTCGGACTATTGTCCTCATCTTTGTCGCCATATAACCTTTCCGGCCTTCTTCAGGTGGTTTGAATGTCGTACTGAACCCTTTATTTTCGCTCGCTTGGGTAGACTGTTGTAGTTCCACGTGCCATGTTTAATGGATGTCAGTTATCAGTTATCTCCTGTTAATTCCCCTCTCCAAGTTCTCCACCACCTTAACTGTGTATTGAACTCACACTCTTTGGGTCCTGTCACTGGATCTAACTGTGCCATGTGCCCTTGAGGACACATGGCACATTGGATAGGGGCGTTGGTTAGATCCAGTGACAGGACCCAAAGAGTGTGAGTTCAATACCTGGTTAAGGCAGTGGAGAACTTGGAGAGGAGAATTAACAGGAGATAACTGATAACTGACATCCATTAAACCTGGCACGTGGAACTACAACAGTCTACCCCAGTGAGCGAAATAAAGGGTTCTGTCCGACATTCCAACCACCTGAAGAAGGCCGGAGCGTACATCGGCCCAAACGTTGTAATAAATATGGCGACAAAGATGAGGACAATAGTCCGAATAATGTAAATAAGGAAAATTTTTATTGCTGCTAATATTTTTATCTATCTATCTATCTATCTATCTATCTATCTATCTATCTATCTATCTATCTATCTCAGTATATACTGATTTGGTTTGGTTTGGTTTGGTTTATGTCATATCAACCTCAATGGGTTATTTAATGCCGACAAGATTTTTATTGCTGGTAATAATTTTTTCAACGATATATTGCTGCTAATATATTTTTTTTCCAAAAATATGTTTCTGGAAGTATTATTTTTCCAAAAATCTATTTCTAGTAATATTTTTTCCTCAAAAATGTATTGCAGGTAATATTTTTTCATCAAAAATTTACTGCTGTTAATATTTTTTCCTTCAAAAATGTACTGCCGGTAATATATTTTCCTTGTAAAGTGTATTGCTGGTAATATTTTTTTCTACAAAAATGTAATGCTGGTAAAATTTTCCTACAAAAACGTATTGCTGGTAATATTTTTCAAAAATTGTATTGCTGTTAATATTTTTTCAAAAATGTATTGCTGATAATAATTTTTTCTTTAAAAATTTATTGCTTGTAATTTTTTTACAAAAACGTATTTCTGGTATTAAAACCTATTTTTACACTTTCAGAATTATAATGATATATATATTTTTAATAAATGTCTGTTATATTTGAAACGAATTTTGCGTGTGTATATTCATATTCAAAGACAAACATTATTTGAGTTACCACGAATATTGTTCGGGCATTTATATAAAGTTAAAACAATAAAAGAAAGAAAAACGTCGCCATTTTGTATTTCATCCTCCTCATCTTCTGTAATAGCTTCTTCTTCTCTTTCTTTTTCATTTCTTTCTTTCTTTCTTTCTTTCTTTCTCATCGTCATCGTCATCATCATCATCGTCTTCAGTATTTCTATTCAACTCTTTGCCAACCTCCAGCATTTCGTTCCAGTCTTTATTATCACTTCTTTTACGTATCGTGTCTCTTCGGAACCAAACAAATCATGGTTCTCCACAGCCTCCTTTCTATCTTCAGAGCATGCGTTACTACTACTTTCGCAGGATCTCTATATAGATCACTTGTGGAAATGGGGATGGAGGAAACCCGCTCTCCCCACTTCTTTGGGTGGGGGGGCGAACGCCTTATATTATTTACAGGCATGACATTTCGTTTTCTTATTTTATTTATTTATTTTAAATAAATGAAGATAAAATAATAA